AACAGATGTGTTAAGTGGGAAAGGGGCATGCGTTGAAGTTAGTCTATATACCAAGTATACAATCTGTGACGGACTGCCTGGCATGCTGACCCAGTACCTCCATCAATCGCTGCTTCCTAGTACTTGCAAGTACCATAAGCACTGTACTGGAACACCATAACCACCGTAGACTCCACAAACCGGCACAGCCTGGGTGGGGTCTCGCCGCCCACCACCCACCCTATACCCGAGACCAGGATCCGAGTGGGTGAACCTCTCCTACTCCAGTATAGTAGGAACAGCTCTAATAAGAGCTAGTGATTATACTCAGGGGAGTATTGTGATATATCAATCCCCAGAGTGAACGTAGTTCTCCAATCCCCCAAACATGAGCCAAGGCTTCATGAAGGGGTAAACGAATCTCCATTTAATGGGAGCCACACTTGGCCTTATATGACAATCCCCATGCAAGAGGTATGCCCATATGGACCTTGTTGGGGGCTGCAATACAAAACTATAAACCAATATGCATGACTCTACCATATACAATACAGTAAGCCTTCATCTTTAGTTAGGATATAATTGAGTCAAGCACTATATTAAACTTAATTATCTCCAACCACAAAAAAACCCCACATTTTTATAAAAAAACCAAAATACCTTAAAACACATAAAATCCCCACAAAAGTTACATCCCCTGATAGCCCTGATCTGGGCGACCAACATATCCAAAAATCACCCAGATCAGTTCAGGGGTTCAGGAATTTCCTGGAAGACATAGTTTTTACCGACCGCACGCATGGTTCCATGCCCAAAACAGTTCCATAGAATCACGGCTAAGTGTGGCTGGGGGACCGACTGGGAACCGCAAAGTCTTCATGCTGAAAATAGTTCCAGAGCATTTGCGGTTAAGTCCCCATAAAGTCTATTCGCGGTTTTGCAGAAAACATACATACATACATACATAAGGTGGAGCTTCATATACACGTTCTGCCGGTATCTGTAATTATATAAATACAAGAACACAGAATAGTGCAATATTGTTGTAACCAATATGAATATATTGAAAAGCGTATGTGGTGTCACTCACAAATCGAGAGTCATAATCCCATATGACTGATGGTAAATGCTTGTGGACTATTCCAGGATGCCCAATCCTTTCTTTTCCTCTCAATTCCACAAGGGAACCTGGATTCTTTAATCCTTCTTCACAAAGATAATTTTCCAATATTGCCAATGTAAAGTGGATATATATAGGGTACCACAGCCAAGGACTTATACGTAATTGCCTTTATTGGTAAACTCTAATACATCTATAAAGAACATATAACAATATTTGGTAAAATAAATATAAATACCGGATACAAATGTCCAGATAAATGTCAAAATGTCCAAAACGCGTTTCGCCCTTAAATGGGCTTCCTCAGTTGGCTATTTCAGCTTGTCTCCTTTTCTGGCTCTTTATATTGTCCACAAATAGCTTTTTTCCACTTCCGGGTTCCGGTTAACCTTAATTTTTAATACTAATTTTAATAGGTTAATGTGTCTTAATTTATTTATTAATGAAATCCGGAAGTGTTCGGGAGTTGGAACGCATGGTGCGTTCCACAGAGCAAAATTGCCGAATCCAGGAAGTGAAAGTAAGGTGAGAGACCGGAAATGAGATCACGCGTGCGAGACCGGAAGTGCGCATGAAGGTGGAACGCACGTTGCGTTCCATCCACGAACGGCCAGAACCCGGAAACAAGAATAGAGGTTAGAAACCGGAAGCGGAAATTGAATGGTGGAACGCATGTTGCGTTCCACTGAAGGTTAACCGGAACCCGGAAGTGGAAAACAGCAATTTGTGGACAATATTGATGATCTCAACCAGTCCAATGCTTTCTGAATGACTGCACCAATCAGCATCTCCTTTCAATGCATTTCTATGGGGAACATTCAGTGCCTTCATGCAGAGATTTGAGACGCTGAATGTAGGCGCTGCACACTGTGCAGCACTAGACAATGAGGCACCTCTAGTGGATGTCTGAGTGACTGGTACTAGAGGTGCTACTAGGCAGCAATGTAAATGTTGCATTTTCTCTAAAAAAAAAAGAAAAAAAAAGAGAAAAGGGGCAGAGTCAGCAAGGTAAGGGAGCGGTCGAATATCTCGGAGCTCCGGCTCTTACTAACCTCAACGAGGCTTTTTATGGTGGATCCCGGGGCCCAAATACCCCACAAACCTCACAACAGCTGGCAGACCCACCATGGGCCGCAAAACGAAAAAAGTAAAAGCGGACAGAAACTCCCAAAGGAGAGATATCGGAGACATGCTGCGGAACTCGCAACAGGCCGCGTGGTCCAAGATGGCGCTGGCCGACAACCTCACCTCCTACTCCTTGGAGGAGTTTGCATCAGACCCCCTAGATGGAACACCCTTTGAGCCCACAGCAGACCGCAAAACAGCACCGCAGAAAGCCGGGGACCCGGTCTCTGCAGACCAAATTAAAATGATGCTGGCGGATCTCCGCAAAGACCTAGCGACTGACATGGCCTGCTATAAAGAGGCCACTGAAGGGGCCACGACAAAAATCTCACAACTGGAGGCCTGCTCGAGCAACCACGATACCAGAATCAGCAAGGTGGAACAGCAGGTAGCAGACCTGGCACAGCAACAACTAACCACATCAGACAGGCTAGACGCTATAGAGGACCAAAGGAGGCGATACAACCTAAAGGTCAGGGGGATCCCGGACTCGATCGACATCGCCGACCTACCCCACTATATACGGCGCTTCATCGGAGGCTTGCTCCCACCAAAGCAGGTGAAATCCCTGAGGCTAGATGGTATGTTCCGGCTACCGAAGCCAGCTAGAGCACCGGCATCAGCAACAGCCGACCTCGTCCTCAGATTTCAAACCCTCTCAGACAAAGCCTCACTCCTGGCGGCACTGCGAGGGAAAACTCCTACACCATTCGAGGGCTCTTCCATCACAGTCTTCCCAGACCTCACCAGGAGCACCCTCACATGGCGGAAATCGCTACAACCCCTGCTGCAACACCTACGTGCCAAAGAAATTCCCTACAAATGGGTTATATCACGAGTTGTCATATTTACACACAACGGGACTACCCACAGAGCACAGGGATACCAGGAGCTGGAAGCGCACCTCCAATCAACGGGCATCTGGCGAGCCTTACCGCCGACAGGATCAGGACTGTCCAGGCTAAACCCGGCTACCATTCCGGAATTCACCCCGAGAGGCAAACAACGAGTCTCACCTAACCGACCACCCACCTGAGGGAGCGGAGGTTGAATCACCCAAGGGGACTTTGTATACCATCATCACTACACACCATGTCTACCACAGTTGGAAAAAGTTTTCTTTTCCTTTCAATACATATGTTATTATTTTCCTTTATTTTCTATTACCTTCGCTCTGCTTGTTGAGCAACCCTAATTAACCTGCACAGCCTAATAGCCTAGAATGCAACCACCCAAGTAGTTTCATAACGAGCACTATAAATATACAAAGAGAGGAAGTATTAGCACTAAGTAAGGGCTGCCAAACATACCGCATAACCCAGTAATCACTCTCGCTCACCACTCCATACCCCCCCCCCCTCCTTCCCGGGAACCAACACTAACAACCAACTCTAATACACTACACATAGTCGAGGGGAAGGAGGAAAATCCCCGTAGTGGATACCACCAAACTGACTCACACTCTTACCATACCCACAAGGGGCTCACTGGCTGATTTCTCTTACCATGTCTTGCATAATGTACTTATAAAACATAAAAAATGTGCTATGTTAATTGATGCCAACAAATGTTTTCTACTGTTGAATGTAAAGCTAGCAACAGCTGTTGGGGCATTGCTGGCCTATTTGTACCCTAGATGCATGAATAAATAAAGAATTAAAAAAAAAAAAAAGAAAAAAAAAAAAGGGGGGTTTACAGTGGAAAACAAATTGCTATTTTTGGCATAGAAAATAAAGCTGTGTTAATATAAAAATTACCTGCCTCCTAACTTGTTTTAGCTGGCTCCTAGATTCAAGGCGAATTTGTCAAGCCCTGGTTTAATAAGCATTTAAAAGAAAAAAATGTAACAAAAAAAAGAAAAATGTTTTAACACATGTTATAAGTATGTTTCCTTATTTTTTTTAATGCTTTTACCATACAAGTAACATTCCACTTAATTCAGAATCTTTTTTTTTTTTCAGAGTACACCTAACTGCAAATTGTAAATATGGTTCCATGACTCAAAAACAACACCAACTAATCTGAAAACAACATCATTGTTGAAAATAGCTTCAGTATGGTCTTACCTATAGCAATTGTGCATTAGTCATCTTCATATGTAAATATAATTAATTTTAAAAGGCTAATAGATGATTAAGAATGAAGTGAGTCGGGGAATACATATCTATATATTTTATCATTAGCAATATTTAATATAATTTTTAATGTGTAGGGAAAAATATATTTTCACATTTAACAATATTAAATGTAATATTAATGATACCATCCCTAGGGCTAGGAGATATATATTGATAATAATTAAAGTATGGTTTAATGAAGGGATTAGACATGTGTATTATAATGCCTTCTGTATTTTATTTATTGCTGACAAGCTAGCATCATGTCACCTTTAGGTAAGAATGAGTCACAATTCTCATAAGTAAAATATCAATTTTATTAAGACACAGAGGCTCATATTATGCTGCACTCTTTCTTTATTTCCCTCAGCAGCAAATCCAAACTTTAACAATGAAATCAACACAGGAAACAGTCAGTAATATATCTTCCATGGCAACCAACAGCCAATCAGTTTCCACTCTCCAGCATAATTGGTTGGTTTCATTTTCCTTTATATTGAATATATGTTATGCTTAATATTTTTTATAAATAAAATTTGTATGGTAAATTTTCCCCCTCCCGGTTCCCTTTAGTCCATTTATTATTTAATGACTCCTTTGTGATAGAGTTGGGGTCTTTTGTATACACCTTCACGGCTTTAGATAAAGCTCAAAGCAACATGCACAAAATCTTTCACCAAAAGATTTTTGCCGGGGGACCAGAAGAGGAAGGAGCCGTCTGTTCGGCCGTATACAGAGAGTTTCATATAGGCAGAACCGAGGTTCCTATTCGGGACAAGCTGGCTTTCAGGAGCAAAAAACAGCACCAGCATTCTTCTAACAAAGAGGCAGACCCTGGGTCACTAGGGGCGTCCGAGGAGCACCTTCTGGACAATGACCTTATGGTAAGTGTCTACTCTCCTCTTTCTTCCCTTCGGGTTGTGGGCGGCAGACTCAAATTTTTCTCATGTGTGGTCGCATCTGACATCAGATGCTTGGGTCCAGGCCCGGACTGGCCATCGGGCAAACCGGGCAAATGCCCAGTGGGCCGCGATGGCCACGGGCCGAGGCCGGGTAGATCCAGCCGGTCCATGTAGAGCCGGCGCTATCCGAGCGCCGGCCCCGCTGTGTTCTATGAAGGGCCGGTGGGGAGATCAAGGATCTCCCTCACCGGCCCACATGCTCTAAAATGCGGCCGCCGGCGGGGGAGAAAGGGAGGGAGACAGCCAAGCTGGAGAGAGGCAACCATCCGGGTCTCGCGAGATTGAACTCTAGCCCCAAAGGGCTAGAGTTCACTTACCACGATGACCACCAGGGATGGATGGAGGCAGCACGACCCCCTCCCCCCTCCTTCCAGGCTACAGGTATGAAGGGAGTGGGGGCATAATGTATTTATTTTTATAATAATAATTTAAAAAAAAAATCTATATTGTCATTTACCTTCCTCCCCCCCAATACACAATCCTTGCAAACACACATCACACTCACACATCACCCAGCACCCTAACACTCACACACACACACACATCACCCTAACACACACACACACACATCACAACACACACACACACACACACCACCTAACACACACACACACACACACACACACACCACATCACCCTAACACACACACACCACATCACCCTAACACACACACACACCACATCACCCTAACACACACACACCACATCACCCTAACACACACACACCACATCACCCTAACACACACACACCACATCACACTAACACACACACACACAGCGCCCTCACACACACACAGCGCCCTCCCACACACACAGCGCCCTCCCACACACAGCGCCATCCCACACACAGGTGTTCACTAAACTATTTAATCTTTCTTGCAATCCTGAACACTGACAACCATCCAACAGAAAAAGCAACTCCAATAAGAGGATAATGCCAGCAGCAAACGGGTTTCCAAGTCAGGCTATAAGAGAGAGTAGAATATGGTAATATCCAACTATAAAATTGGATTCATGCATAAAATAACATCTTGCAAATGAATAGGCAATATCTGATTTCAAATTGTATTCAGTCAACATACACAGCTGAGAAGCAAGGAGCCTTTAAGCCCAGCGGGTATCCAGGTAAGAGGGCAAACCATTACTAAACATTTTGCCCCATTACCGGGTAAATGGGCAAGGGAGTGACCCTTTAACACCCTAATCACTCCTTAACCTTTATCTTCACTGATCCCTCAACCAACATTCTCATCCTCTCATACTTCATCTTCTTTAATCCTCATCACACTGTGCCTCACCTCTATCATTGTAAATGCTTCATCATTGCAATCTAAAAACACATTTTAGCACTCATGTAATGCCTTTATCACTTATTGACCCAATCACATTATCCCATCACCACAATCCCCTCGCTGATCCTTTTAATCTCTTCATGCAGTCCTAAAAAAATTCACTCCAGGTTATTTTATTTTTTTATGAGACCCCCAGCATCTACTCGAACTTATCATCATAACAATCACATTCCAACCACCCTAGCCCACTAACTACATCACCCACTTTCTCCTAAGGTCCACATCACTTTCAGAGCCAATCATATCACTGAAATAACATTACCTCGATAGCCTCTTCATCACCCTGTAATCCACCAGCTCCAATCACATTACAACATTCCTTAATCCCTTAATCCCATCCCTAAATGCATTAGAACATTCCATTATCTCATCACCACCAGCCTCAATTACCCTAGCCATAATTCAATCACCCCAGTCACAAAACCTCATGACCATAATCCTGTCTACTCAACCCCTCCAGTCACATCAGCTCAATAGTTCCCTCATTATTCTCTCATCTTCCAGCCCTAATAATAATAATAATAATAATAATAATAATTAAAAAAAAAAACACAGACAGATAGACAAGGCCCTTTTTCCCCTATAGCATTACATGCCCCCATCCTCATAATTCATTATCATAATCCATCATCACCTCCAGCCTGAATCACATTACTCCTCCAATAAAAAACATCCACTCAACCACAAAAAAAAAAAACCCTTTTCCCCTAGCTTAAAGTGATCTGTGATGGATTGTCAAATGAGTTGCTAGATATTGTCCAACATGGCTTCCTTACCAACTATGTGAGCTTTATTCGAAAATGCATGCTAAAATATATGATTTGAATAAATTCTAACACCCAGCTTTATGGACTGCTTGGTCATTTCAGCCTAAACAGTACATTTCAGTTTCAATTCACTACAATGAGGTGCTGAGTGAATAAAGCATACTACGGCATAAATAATCCCTTATCGGACACCAGTACAGATCCCAGAATAATCTTGAAGAATTGCACCGTACTGTACTATTAATTTGCCTGTCCGTCCTATATACAGCTTTCATATTAATGCAGCCCAGATTTAGTTCAATAAAATTGCAGTCCGTGTCATCTTCTTGCAGACCCAGGAGGGCTCTCTTGTGCATTTACATTGATATTAAAGCTGAGTTTAATAAACATCACTAGGCAGTACCCACAGCCTCCTGTGCATTCCTTATTACCTTTTATGATGGTGGTCAGAAATACTAAATATTAGCATCAGAATGAATCAAGGTTTATTACAACATGGGCAATTTGGGGAAGGTTATTCAAATCTAATGTGTGCTTTTCACCATAAAAAGCCGATAATCAGTCCTGAGAAAAATATTCTGCTCCCAAGTGCCGGCAGCAAGAGAGCAGCTCTTTGCTACCATAGAAACGGTCTCCAAAATGTGACAGATGCAGCTTTGTTTGTACATATGGTTGGGACACAAATAGAATTAGATGGGGATTTTAGACAAGAGAGAGAGGGACTCTAAATTGTACTGCTGTGTGTACTTTTTATTCACAATTTTAAGAGATGTCTGGAAACAGAAGCCGCAGGCAAGGGAACGGCGTGGGGAAATAAATGAAATGGCAATATTAACCCTTTGCATTCACTCTAAGAAGTTCAGTCCCTTATCTGAAAGGATTAGTTTACAGTGTTTGTATCATTACATTGCAAACTGGTGAACAGTTCTCTGTCACTCACTGTGTTAAAGAGAAAATGATACGTGGGCATAAACTAATTACTAGTGGACTGATCGGTATTAAGGTATCAATATTTATAGTACTGAAATGGAGGTGCTTACAAATCTAGTACAGGCATGGTTAAAAGGGAGAAAATGACACTAAGCACTAGAGTACTGAGCTTTCTCCTCCTTTACATTAACATTTAGTATAAGATGATGGCAGAGAATGGGAGCCAGGAGGATGGGGGATACCTTAGTCCTTCACTATGTCTTTTATCTCCCATTGCAACAGAATATGGAGGGTGGTAAGTATTGCAGTTCTCATATAGTATATTTATTACTCACTGAAAGCAAGCACGCACATGGGGTATCCAGTGGGGATACCAAGGATCCATCCATAGGAAAACAAGGATGGCAACTCATAGCCCCATTCCCTGGCTACTATTGGTTCTGGAGATCGTCACAATGCTTAAGCCAATACTTGTGCTTTGCTATCCTCCACAATACCTTCCAAGTGCCACATTTTTTGGAGGGACAATCCTTGGCTCAAATCCCTCTGTACCCGTTTTATTTGCTAATGCACTTTTTCTTGGAGATCCATAATCCTGCTGTGTCTGAGTGTTTAACAGCTTCACAGCCATGAAATTCAAATTAATGTGCTTTTAAAAAAATTAAAACCTGCATCGGATAAAGATAAATCCATCTTCGCCCTGTAAGGGCTACATTCCGAATGATGCTTTCAAACAGGAAACACCTTTGTTTTATAAAGACTTTACCTCACTTCCATTTCTCATTAGAGTTTGACTTGTAAACCAACCAATAACCAATCAGAGTGCACTAACAAGCAAGTGTCACTTTTATCAAGACTTGCCATTGGAACTATTTCATAATAACCCTTAGGGTTATTCACTAAAGTCCAAATCTCCCCATTCTGAATGAGGCAAAAATAAATGACCATGTATAGGGCTATTCAAACTACAAAATCCAGACATTGTTTATACTACTCAACATTGTCCAGATTTTTCAATTAAGGCACTGAACAGCCCTGAATTAGGTGTAGTTTTCAGCCAGACTGAATGCTGTCTAAGGCTGAAATCCAGACCCACATGCTTAAGGTAAGAAATAAGAAAATAAAACTTGTCATGGATGGGTTTGTGTTGGGGACACTAGGTTCCCCCTTTGTTTATTTTTTTTAGAGCCCATATCCACCACCAATGTTCCCACCACCCCCCCTATGTTTAAAGAAAAGCTATAGGCACCCACACCACTTTATCTCAGTTTTAGAAAAATTGCAATGTTTACATAGCAGGGTTAAGACTGCCTCTAGTTACTGTCTAACAGACAGCCACTATAGGCCCTTCCTGCAGTTTCATAGAGTTTAACTCTGAGTAATACTCTGGAAGTCCAGCATTTTAAAAACCCCATCGGAAATCATTGAGTTATTGCTTTGCTATGGTTAACGCCTAATTAGCGCACTGTGCGCACCATACCTGTGCATTAGGTTCCCAGATAATGCTGATGTTGGAGGATTTTTTTTTAACCCTTTCATGGCCTGCAGGGGAATTGTAGTGGAGAGGCTGCTGAGGCAGAGGAACACTGTAATGTTAGGAATACTGTTTTGTATTAAATATTGGAACTTAGGAGGGATGAAGTGGATTAAAACCTGCATAGGCTGACTGACAATGCATTAGTTAAGCTAATTTTGCACACTGTGCCAAGGGTTTTTCTGTTCAGTCTCTCTACAGTGTGGCATGTCCCCTTTCTGCTACATTTACTACATTCACTTTTTTCTTTGCCCCAGGCTGCATTCCAGAAGCTTTTGTCTGTTAGTAAGAAGGGAAGGAGACGAGTGGACAAGTGTGTGCTAATGGACACCATGAAAA